GGCGGGGGCGGCGGTGGGGGCGAGTCCGGGGGAGGCGGAGGCGGCGGAGGCATTTCCAAAGGCAAGGGAGGTTGGAGGACCGGGACAGAGGACTGAAGCAGAGTCCAAAATGGAGTGAGCGGCATGAGAGACGTAGCAGGAACTTGGCCTGAGAAGGATTCTTTACAAAGGGAGCCTGAAGAATACATATTGACACAGGCTTGAAAACCCACGCTATGGACCGCGCTGCCTGCTCCTGCCCACTGCCTCCCTGCCAGGCCCTGCCTGGGAGCGGGCAGGCAGAGCTCCGGCCACGGGCTTGACTGACGACCTGCATGCCGCCTTCCCTGGCACCGCCACCGTGCTGAAAAGTGCTGGGGACAGCTTGGGCACAGCGCTCAAACCACTGCCCGTGGAGGGGGACCGGTGCCGCCACCTGCTCTAGCGCTCGGCAAGGCCCCACAACACCCCTCTCTGGGGCTGGGACTCCCCCCAAAACCACAACGATCCCCGCCCCATCACCGTACCTGTGGTACGCTCAGCGGGGTCCCCGGCGCGCTCTCCTTTGTCTTTTGGAGGTGGTTTAGGAGGACTGTCGGCTTTTCTGTCGGTGGTTCGCTGTCCCTCCTCTTCGTCCTCCCCGTCGGGGAACTCCCATTGCGACTCTCCTGAGCGCTCGTTAACATAGAAATAGCGTCTATGCTCCCTAAATCACAAGAAAGAGAAGGAGGCTTTAGATTCCCTCCCCCGCCACTGACACTCCGAGGCGGGCCTGCCCACGACAGCGGTGTGCTCTCGCAGGGAAGACCCTCGGCAGCAGGGCTGCCGCTCTCCCAAACGCCACAAACAACTTTGAGGACAGAGGCAGGAGAGACCCGAGCCGGCTCGCTCAAAGCTATTTGCATTGCTGGCTGCATGAACGTCGCCCTGAGCCCCCCGCTCCGAGGGAGGGGAGGGCTAAGAAAGCAGGCCAGAGTGCAGCAGAGCGACGTCTCTCGCTAGCATCGGGACTTTCAGCCGCCACCTTGGCTGAAAAGTCGCCCTCCAAGAAGAGGCACCGGGGAACAGCCCAATGGAGAGAAGCGGCTGCCCCCCTACCCCGTGGTGCGTGGAGGTCGCTTTTATGATACTCTTGGTGTCAAACACACAGTGAATGCTAGAGAGAGGGAGCGGATCTGGGAGCTGAAAAACAAAAGAGCAAAGATTTCAAACAAAGGAAAATTAATCAAGAAAGCCAAATAGACAAAGAAATGTTTGGGTCTGACCTGCTGGCAGGAGACAGAAATCTTGTTCTTCATTCCGTCGATGAGTTGAAGTTTGTCCTTTGTCAGAGCTGTTGGTCAGAAGAGGTGATCCAGAGATCCTGCAAAGTTCACAGAGCTCTCGCATGCGCGACCCCCCAGGCCCGCCCTCCACAGCGCTTTACACTCGTGAGAGTGAAAACCAGCTCTGTCCGATCAGGGAATCAGCTCCGTCTCAAAGCACTGAGCACTCCGTTTGGATCCTCCAGTTTGGTGGTTGGCCCAAACTCTGCGAGTGCCGGATGTTTCTCTGCCTGCCCAGCACTGCTAACAGAAGCTGCTCTCAGTCTCCGAGAGGGACGGCGCCAACGTCGTCGGGTGGTGATGGTCACAAATCATGTCTGAGATGTCAGAGATGAAAGGTGAGAAAGGTAGGAGAGCGCGTACCTGTCCCAGTGGCAGGACCAGCCTTTAGGAGTGGCGTTTATTTCGTATTGTTTTAGCTGTTCAGCTGCGTCTTGGAGTTTGCGTTTGAGGTAGTTTCCATTGAGAGCACCTTCTCGCCAGTCTGCAATGCGGGTCTAGAGGGCAAGAACCGGGGGAGGGGGAAAGTGGTTGAGGGAGGCTGCAAGAGGCTCTCGGGACAGGACTCGAGCTGCGGGAGGCTCCCTTATGGCATGGGGCTCGCGGGGGAAGACACCGCCTCCACGCAAAGCCATGCTCTCCCCCCGCCGAGGAAGGGCCCTGCAGGAGCGCGGTTGTGGTGCCGCTGCCACGAGCTTCACGCAGCACTGGCACTTGAACGGCGGACAGTATTTGTTATCCGCTTCGGAACAGAAGGCCGGAGCGAGGGACGAAGGCTCGGTTACCTCTGTCTGCAACAGCAACATGTGGAAGTTGGAGATAGATTGTCTGTTGATGCCCAGGAACTCCAATTTATTAGTCAGAGTATTTGCCAGCTCTCCAATCTGAAACTGCCAGGGAGAAAGGGGAGAGTAAGCAGCCGCTCTCCAGTAGCGGCACCGGGGGCTGCGGCCCTGCAGCTCGAGGCCTTCCCCGGCAAACGAGACTTGGGACCGCCTGCGGCCCCTCCGCCGTGCCACCCTGAACGCCAGCGCCTGTCACCCCCTCTGTTAAGCCCTGCTACCTCCTGCACCCCAGGGACAGGGTCTGGAGCCGCCAGCGAACCCCAACTCCTTGCCCTGCTCCCGCTCCCAGGTGCGATCACCACTCTGCCCCAGCCCAAGGAGGGTGCGGGCTTGGGTCCGCTTCAGTGCCTGGCTCTGGAGTTATAGCAGAGCAGTCGCCAGGGCAGAAAGCATTGAATCTAATCTTCCAATCATTTCCCAAAGGAAATAGGCTGGGATATAATTTCAGGCTTTGTAAATCATTGCTTTCCAGAGGAACTAGTTGGAAAGCGCGGGAGAGGTGACAGCTCTGGATTTACTCCTGAGCAGAGACAGGATCTATGTTAAGATTCAGGCCAGCCTGCAGCGACCACCGTTCCTCGACCCTGGCATCCCATGGGAGCAAAATCTCCAAGTGGGGCACTGCCCGGGGCCACAGGGACCCCTGCATCTATCCCCCCGCCTGTGGCGACTGCAGTAAAGTGGCTACAAGCCAGGAAACGATCAGGAGCAGGAACAGGGTGGACGCCTGCAAGTGGCACCACCACTGCTTTAAGGAGGGCTCTAAAAATGACTTTTTTTTTTTTCCCCTTTTGCTCTTCAGAAGAGGCTTTGAAAGGTCCCCAAAGCCAACAACGCAGTCTGTCTCCAGAGAAGGAGGATGGGCCAGAGAGACAAGCAGCACTAGAGAAACCCAAAGCGGGGAAATGAATTCCCCCGTTTTAACGTGGCTATGGAGAAGCCAGGGAAGATCCCACAGCGGAGGGCGACTTCACAGCGGAGGGCCCAGCGAAATCTCCTGCAAACCAGAGAGCCGGCAGAACAGAGATTACCCCGAATTGATGAAGCAAATGGTACCAATTACCCGAGGAGACGGCATTCCTCCAACCTCTAAAGGGATCCCGCGTGGCAAAGCACCACGCTACAGCACACAGTCCGTCACAGCGCACCACCAGGACCAGGAGGAGAGGGGATGGCAAACGGGCTGGCTTAAAAGGCTTTCGGTAGCCATCTGGGGTGAGGCAGGCACGAGTGTGGTCCTGCTGCAGGCTTTTTAAAGCTTTTTTTAAAAATAAATTTAATTTAAATCAGACAAGCCTCATGTAGATGCTATACTGAGGGAGGCTCTGGTTTGGGGCAAGGTCGCATCTCAAAACTCTGTTAAGAGTTCTTTTACAGGGTAGATGCTAAATCTGTCAGGAAGTCAATAATGAAGCCCTTTCATGCTGGAAAAATGATGAAGTGGTAGGAAATGAGGGCAGGGCCCGAGGTCAGCTCTCACTGCAGGTAGCCACCGGGGTTCTACCGTGGGCTGGCAATTCCCCATCTGTAAACCATCTGGCCCAGGGAGGTGCCAATGGTTGCTAACGAAACCAAATTGCTCAGGAGCCAAATTTAATGCTGCAGGAGATCTCCTGGTAAGGAGCAAGTGGGAATTAAAAGGACAAATAGAAAAGATCTCCTCTACCACTCAGTGTAACTGTCACCCAGAGCCTGTAGCTGTGTGTGTCACTACTGTGGCTCAGGAAGGGGCTCTGGGAATCCTTCAGACGCAGCCAAAAAGTGCAAACCAAGGCTCGGAAAATATCAGCACAATGCTGTATAAATCCCCAGGGCTTCCCCCATTTCTAACAATATGGGGCTTCCCCAAAATCTAACAACTTCAAAAAGGAACGCCAGGTGAGGAACAGAGTGACAGGTACCGGCAGCCTCCAGACACAGAGAGATTACAAACGAGGAGTCTTCAGCCTGGAAACGGGACAACTGCATGGGCACGTGCCAGAGGACTGAAATATTGTTATTGGTGAAAAGAAAGTCAAGACAAAAGAGTTCGCGCTCTCTCAGGACAAGACCCAGAGCTCAGTCTTTATGCCCACCACAACCCCCCCTTTCATTTTTTTTTAAAAATCCTTTCAAGCCTTTGCTGCTGGCTAATCCTGCATGGCTGTTCTTTCACAAGGATGAGCTGCTCTTGCAGCAGTGCCGGGATCTGAGCTTTAGAGCTGCAGCAGGCACCTGGCACCATCCCATGGGCAGTGCGGGAGGTGGCCAAGGCCACTCCAGCCGGCCCAAACCCACAGCCCAAAGCTCAGGTGTCCCTGGGGCAGAGGCCAAGTGCCTGGCCACATCTCTAGCGCGAGCTGGGAAAGATGTCACCAACACGCATCTCTGCATTTCTGTACCTTTAGGTCCTGCTCCTCCTCTTCTATTTTTGGTGCCCCCTGGGCTTTTGCTTTCTCCTGGGGCTCCTCAGACTCTGCCTCTTTGTCTGAATTTGCATCAGCTGCTTCTGTGCTCGCCGCTGTGGGAGAAGAAATGACAGGTCAGCCCTTCTCCCACCACTGCTGTGGCGCTGCTGACAGCCAGCTGGAGACACCGTGCTGGGGAACCAAAGCCACTGCAGGAGAGGGCAGGGAAAGAGCCAGGGCCTCTTTCCTACAGGAGCTGGTGACCAGAACCTGAAATCAAAAAGGAAAGAGGTCACTGCCTTTCTGATAGGGAGGATCCTTCTGGAAGGACAGTTCAGGAAGCGCTGCTACTGCACAAGGGCAGGGAGGAGGAAGGGCCTGGAGCACAGGGATGGAAGAAGTGTGGGGAGAGCTAAATAACAGCCAGGCAGGCAATGGTTAAACTCCGGCAGTTTAATACTTTGTCAAGAAAAGGGATCAGGTATTAAATAAGTTGAGGCAATTCTCAAAGACTGAAGAGCTCCCAAACAGTTGTCAAAGACTGTAAGGCTTTGCCTCCACTGCATCACAGGACAACTGCAACTGATTTGCTGTCTGAGTGGCAAATTCCAGGGAGGGAAGTTTTGTGAGGGCTTGTGAGGGGGAAAAACCCACTTTCCCGGAGTGGCCTCAAGGGCAGGACAGTTCCCTCAGGCACTCTCCAGCAGCAGGGCCTCAGCTGTTACACGGGTTATTTTAGAGCTCCTGTTCCCCAGAGAAGCGGGAAACCAGCACTGCTGGAAGGAGCTTGCTCCAGAGATGTGGTGAGGCACAAGGGAAAACTCTCCAGAAAACCACCCTAGATGAACAGCATCGCTGATTTACCACCAGACCCGCCACCCACATCACACTTCCACCTGAAGCAGACGCGTTTTTGGGGCAGGCAGTCTTATGGGTCCAAAACCATCCCCCACTTCAGCAGGACACAGCCTGCTCCAGGCTCAGGCATTTTGTACCCTTTAGTTCTTTTCCTGGGAAAAGCAGTTGTGTCTCGTTCAGGCAATGTTCTGTGCCACAGGGGCTGCCCTCCCTCCTTGTGCTGGGGAGGGACTGGCACATCTGAGAGCACCGGGGCTGCCGGACACAGGTCACTCTCCCAAACACAGGGGCCAGCATGTTTTGGGGAGCACGGGAGGGTTGGGAGAGGGAGCAACACACGGGCCGTGGAGCACCACCAGCCACAACCATGCTGTTTCCCAAGGCAATAAATTTATATGATGCTCTGCAACATCCGCTAGACTACTCTTAGCTTATATGTGACAACAGCCTCTGAAAAACCAGAGAAAAGCAGAGCCCTGACAGGACCATGAGCTCTGCCGAGGTACTCTTGTCGCTCGAGTGACGTATCTGAGACACAGGTGGCATCAGACAACCCTTCCACGAACCAGGTCTGCCCACAGCGAGCTCCTGCCTTATGTTCCCTGCGCACCAAGTGCAGAGCTGGAGCAGCTCCTGGGGAACTCCTATCTCAAATTTGGTGACTGTCACCTAGCAGCTCAGAAACCGCGCTTGGAAAGAGGAATGGAACAGTTCCCCGTGTACCACGGTTCGGATTTGTAAGGCGGAAGGAAAGCGGAAGGTGGCAAGGCGTGAAAAAGCCATTATCATACTTCTGTGTTCCCTCTCCTGATAAAGTCTCAAGTACGGGCACTCTATTTTCCTGATGAATACTGGACGTAAACACTCTCCTGTTTATTTTCTTTAATTACAGGATAAAGGAGAGAAATTGGCAGAGCATCAGCTTACTCCCACGCAATGCCCTGAGCTAGTGAGACCACTTGGCTGTGTGTGACTGGTGACAGCCACCCTGCTGGGCCTGTCCCCGGTCCGGCACACGTACCTCACTGCCCGGCCTGGCTCCTCTACATGTCACGTGGGGCTCCCCAAACATCTTCGGGGAAAGGAGCCCCTGGCAGGAGAGGGCTGCAGCTTTTCCAAGCACCCGCTCCTCCCTCTGAAGGGAGTTTTTCCAATTACCTGCTTCTCCCACTTCCGGGCTCTCTCGGCCCATTTTGCTGGAGCCTCGACTTGCTGATTCGGGGCTGGCAGCTCCGACAAACAGTTTCCATTTCCCCCGTTTAGAGGCCAGCCTGCGGGTTGCATCTTGCGAGGCCGACTGGCTCCCATCGGAGAGTGGGCTGGAGCCTGAAATGCTGCCATCACCTTCCTCCAAGGCCCGCAGCTCCGCCTGCCGAGAGACGCAACAGTGAGCGGCGATTCGGGGACTTGAACCTGCCCTGAAGAGCAGCCGTGGCTCCGAGTCACCTGGGAAAGATGCTCACATCGGGGCACTGCATTCACAAAGACAGAGCCAGGAGTTTGCCAACGGCTGCTGGATTGCCAGCAGAGCCTCTGCATGAAGCTGCGGCTGATCAGTGCCCAGATGAATACAGGGACCAAGCCCGTATAGGAGCAGCACCGGGGGTGTGGGGTCGCTCTCCCAAAGGAGGCAGGACAGAGACAGAACTGGGAGTTGCTGCTCCCGGTTTCTTTCCGGCTATTCCCTAGCTGCACATACGGCCTTGTTTCTGTGATAAAAACGTTTCCCCTTACCTTCTTTCTCTCCAGCACCATCTCCAGCTCGAGGGTGTCTTGCTCCTCCTCTTCCTCAGCACTTTCCCCCGACTGCACCACACTGCACAGATCCTCTTGCAGCGTGTCTTCCAGGGGATCCCGGCTGGGCTCCGGCTCTTCAGGGACAGCTGCTGTCTCTTCTGCTTTTACCTCCTCTTCTGGGGGCGGCTCGACCTCCTCTTTACAAATCACCTTCCTCCTCCAACGCTCCTCTTCCTCCTTCACCACATCAGGCAGGAGTGGTGCCAGGAGGGCTGCAGCCACCCCTTTCTTCTCCTCCTCACTGTTGGAGAGTGCCTGCACACCTTCGTTCACTTCCTGCAGGCCAAGCCTTGTGTGAGTTTTCTGAGCTCTGCCCAAGTCTGCAGCTCCCTGCCCCCTCCTACCAACCCTCCACCTCCCCCCACAGCTAAGCAGCCCACAGAGGAAGGAGCCCGGGTGGCCCTGTGCTCCCAGGGCCCCTCTTCGGGCTGTGAACAGAGTGGAGTAACCCACCTGCTGCCCAGGAAGCCCAAACAGGTGCCTACAAGCCCTGTGGCAACCAAAACCCAGTGTTAGGCTCATCTGACTGACCTTCTTCACCTCCCTCTTGGTGAGGTTGGCCCCACGGCCGACGCTGCCAGGGGTAGCCCCCTTCTCCTGGGGGTACAAATCAGCAGCTGCCACGAAGCTGCCATTGGCACCTGCCACGGTGCTGCTGAGGAAGAGGAGAAGGAGTGAAGAGCAGGCTTGGGGACCATGTCCCCAGACTTGCCCTCACGGGGCCAGGGCTCTCACCCACCTGTGCTGGTAGTGCTGCAGGCGATGAACCTGCGTCGCCAGGTACTGTGGCAGCTCCCAGGTCACCTCATTGCTCTGGGTGTTCCAGTAATAGTAGCAGCCGGTGTTCTCATCCCACACCTCCTGCCAGTCGCCCATCTCTAGCTCCCCCACTGCCAGGGGGGACATGACAAGGACAGGCTGTCACAAAGGGGACACAGGGGGCCTGGTCCATCACCCATGGGGACATGCAAAGCCTATGTGTCACCTGCAGGGTATGTGCAGTCTGTCTGTCACCCAGGGGACACACAGAGCCTGTGTGTCACCTACAGGGTGCATGGAGCCTGTGTCTGTCACCCATGGGGTATATGGAGCCTGTGACCATCACCCAGGGGACACATGGAGCCCGTGTCCATCACCCACAGGGGCACAGGGAGTCCATGTCTGTCACCCATGGGGATACGCAAAGCTTGTGTGTCACCCACAGGGCACATGGAGCACGCACCCATCACCTACGGGGGCACATTGAGCCCCCGTCTGTCACTCAAGGGATGCACAGAGCCTGTGTGTCACCCGTGGGGTGCACCGAGCCCACATCCCCTCCAACCAGGCCGGTTCCCTAGGCCACTGTCACCCCCCCCTTTTACCAGTGGCAGTCATTTGTCACCTCCCTCAGCTCCCTTTCACTAGCAAAGTGGTGGGCAGCCGCCCCCCCCACCCAAGCAGGGCGAGGCACTCACCTCCTGCCAGTGAGCATTGCGTGTCGTACTGCCACTCCGGGGCCGGCACAGCACCCGCGCCGTTGGTGGTGCTCGAGGACTGGCTCCCTGAGTCCTTTGGCTCGGGGCGGGGAGGTGTGGGGGGTGGCGCAGATGAGGAGGAAGTGGGCTCAGCGGGCTGTGGAGGAGCCGTGATAGCATCGATCTCCTGGAAAAACAACATCCTGACATCAACTTCAAATCCCACAGGGGGGCAAAAGCAGAATCAAGAAGTGCTTAGAGGCAGAGAACAATGTTTCAGATGGTGAAACTACTGTCTTTCCACCTCCCCCCCAATCTTCCTCCCAAGGGGAAGCTCACGGCCGCACTCCCCGGAGCCGCACTAACCGCCAGGAAGTTGGCCAGTGTGCTGTCGATGTCTGCTGAGTTACTGCCATTTGCGTCTGCGGAACGGGTCGATTTCTCTGGGGTTTCACCTTCCTCATCGTCGCTGTCTGCGTAGGCACCAAGCAGACACAAACCTCCTGGCCAGGGGGAGAGAAGAGCAGCGGAGCCTCAGTGAGACAGAGGGGCAGCACACCCCACTTCAGAGCCACCATCGCAGGTGGCAGATCTGAACGCCAAACTCTGGGGGCTCCTGATGTCACCCCAGTAATCCTGTGAGGAGGGAGTGGCCCCATGGGGAGAGGCAGGAATGGTTTGGGGGGACAAAACACCCCACCCCACTCTGTAAGTATTCAGGGAATAAACACTGCCCCTCGCTCTTCAAAACATCCATGGGGATGGCTGCTGGCCCCCCAAAATCATGGAGGACCAGCTCCCTACAAACACACTGGGAGTGGGAAATACCCTCCCTGGGGAAAAAATAAAACATCACCACTTGGAGAAAAAAAAAAATTCCCACCTCTAGAAAAAACAAAGACTGGAGGGAATATCATATCCTGCCCCAAAATCAGAGTGAGGAGTCATCAGTCCCCCAAACACCAATATTTTAATTATTAAGCTATTATTAAATTTATTTATTAGCTAATAATAGGCAATAATAACAATAGATAGAGAAAAATCACTTCTTCCTCCCATCTGGCCCCTGAAAAAAATACACAGGTTGGAAAAATATCTTCTAACTCAAATTTTTAAGGTAAGAAATCATCTTCCCTTCACAAATCACTTAAGGATGGAAGGGGGGGGAGCTTTCACATCATACCACTACCTCAAAAAGAGTGAAGCAGGGGCAGTAAACCTGCTCCCCCCCCAAAATCGGGGGGAGAATCACTCCACTCCCCCAGATAAAAAGTACTTAAACAAGGTAATCACCCTACCCCAACAGTAAGTTAAAAAAATACATTTAAAAAGCAATCACATACACGACCCAAAAAAACAAGAAAAAACCCGTAACAATTAAACCCGAAACGATTAAACCGTAAAAATAATTTACAAAGGGATTAATTATCCAACCCTTAAAAAAAAAAAAAAAGTATTTCAAGAGGAACGATCACACCTCCCTAGAAAAGGGCTTACATGGGGACAATCATCCCCCTTTAAAAAAAACCCACTTAAATGGGAACAATCAGCTCTCTTTAAAAAAATAGCACTTAAGCACTTAAAAGGAGAAAACCAGCCCCTTTAAAAAAAAGACTTAAGGAGAGAGGAACCGCAGCCCCCTCCAAAATCACACGTTTAGGAGAAAAAAAACCCATTTTTTTTTAGTAATACCAGATGGTGGGGGATGCTCCTCCATAAAAAGAGCCGGGGGGGAGCACTCCCCGAATTATTTTTTTTAGGGGAGGTTTATAACTCGTCTATGTCTCCGAGGGGCCTCGTACCTGTGGGTTTGACGGCAGCGGGCGCGGGGGGCGGTGGGCTGGGCACGCTGCGAGGGGGCTCCGCCACCGCTTCGGGCTCATCTGTGAGGGAAGAGCCATTAGAAACC